GTAAGGGAGGGCATCTCTAGGGAAAGCAGAGCAAATTTCCAACACGATGATAGGGATCCTTGTGCTGGAATCTGATCATGTGCGTGTCCAACAAACTCTCCAAGGGAAATAGTAAGAGAGAGGCAGGTTCTCTTTCACATGTTGTCCCTTGACTTTATTTTTTAATGAGTAATGCTTTGTTTCTTTCTCTCCGAAAAGCAGGAGAGATCACAATCCCACATCCCAAAGGAACAGGACTCTGAGTATTCGCATACAGGTTTCTATTTGTGTCAACCCATACTGATCTAAGGGCARGCCACACGGGCTCAGTTGGCCGAGGATGGGACTCTGGAGTTTTAATGCTGGCTTGACACTGTCACTTGGACACGTTCAGTATCTCTGCTCCCATTCTGTCTGTACGGTAGAGCTAAACTACCACCACGGGTGTGGGGCTTTATCTTGTCTCCCTGGAACACTGTTCAGGTGACAGGGGCTACGGAAGTGTTAGACAAAGGACCTTGTTACGGATGCAGGAAGCTTGGTGGGATTGGTACCTGCTGGTGTGTAAGGATAAGYGACTGCCTGACCTCCTCTGCTCTGCGCACTTCCTCTGGACACTACCTAATCCTGGTCTTCTGTCAGCAGCTGGGAGTGGATGGGGTGGTACTGCATGGCCATAATGAACCTTCTCTGGTGTCATTGCAGGAGCTATGCAGAAAGAAATTTGGCAAGAAGTCCCTTAGGACATGGACTAAGTAATGGAGGAGGTAGGTGAGGCTAAAGATATTTCAGGGCCGGTGAAGCAGCCAAAGGAAGCAGAAAGTTCATTGAGTTATGTCGCCCTTGAGAGAGCAGGACTATGTGTTTTGAGGATAGGAATCTGCTGGTTGTGWGAGGTACTTAATGGTGTAAGCACCTTGTGACAGCCAGCCAGATTTCATCACTCTAATCCCTTGGGACTTACTAGGGACTCCTGAATAGAAAGATGCCTTCACTGAGCATGACGGGATGCACAGAACTCTGTGTCACTGCTTTTGACCTCCTTCCCCTCTGCTTGAAAGAAGGCCTGAGTAGTGACCACAGCAACATGTGAGCCTGTAATTCTGGAAAACTTTGGGGAGAAACAAAAGTGGGAGTGGGAAGGCTCTATGGCACCGTTGTCTTTCAAAATAAGCTCTTGTGTGGGTGTCCGTGCAGATGCACTTGAGCGATTCTGGGCCCAGTGTGAATTCTTGTAGTTGATACAGTGATGCGTTCAACAAACCAAACCCCAGTGACTCTCATTTGCTTTCAGTTTGTTTCCTAAATGACTATTTTTCTCAATCTTTTTCCCCAAAGCAGAGTGACGAAACCTCAGCAAGGACTTTCTGGCATCGGACCGAGTGCCATAACACTAATAACACTACTGACCGGGCAAACCGTCCCCGGRGAGAGGCCAGCGCCGCTGCCCACGCTGCAGGCGCCCGCATCGCAACGCGCTCGCGCCCACGTGCCGGCCTCTGCCTCCCCTTCAGTGCCTCGCTAGAGACATCTCCTCCTGGAGCCCGCCTTGCATTAGCACAGAAGTGGATTACCTGGTCTGATGCACCACAAGCCTCTGAATACCTATAACTTTTTAAATGTTTGCACATTTCTCTTTTCTACTGGGCTGGGTTTTAAATTATAAACGTTACTGCCTCGGTGCAGGATTTTAATAAACGCACACTGTTACCTCCGACTGGTTTTAAAATTATTTTTTTGTACAATTTTTTAAAATCGTATGGGTATTTCAGTTTTAATGGAAACATTTTAGAAGTTTACTTTTTAAAAAAAAACATTAAATAATATATGCTAGATTCCTGTGACTGCTGTATATGGTATCTGAATGAGTAATTTTGGTTTTTGTTTGTTATGGTACTGTTAACTGGCTTTATGGATTTGGGTAGAATCTATTTTTGTAGCCATTCAGATTGGAGGAAAATTAATCGAACTTGATTTTTGTTGTTGTTTCAACACTACGTTGCTCTCTTTTTGGAAATAAAACTCTGAATTCCCTTTTGCGATCCTTGTCTGCTCTCGTATCTGTTCTTTCTGTCAGCAACCTCTTTGGCACGGGCTCCTGAGCACTCAGTGCTGAAGAAGGTGAAACTCTCCCTCTTTGAGCCACAGAGGCAGTGAATGCTGGCAGAGGCAGAGTGGCCTCTTTCACTCCTTTGAGGAGACACGTATGGCAAACACGCTGATTCTGTCACTCTGTCCTACAATCTGTACACAGAAAACCGCAGCAGTTCAGATAATGGTCCCCAGTAAGGTACCTGCCACGTGTCCTGAAATAACTTGGGATGATAACACTGAAGGGAGAAAGAGTTGGTCCAGCAATGTTTTATTATACTATTTACCCTTGGGATTGTGAAATGAAAGTGGTGAAACGGTGTGGAGGTGTCTGTTAATATTGAGAAACATTAAATTGTTCTTTTTCCTCAGTTCTGATACTATTTTCTTTCAGGTTTCTCCAAGAGTGTTTTCAGATACCCTTCCCTTTAGAAATTACTAGTATCTTCATTGAGACCTAATTTATKGCTAATGAGATTGTAGTCTACTATCTATGCTGTGTGATCTGGCAAACTAGTTGCATTATTTCCTTATTTCTGCTAGTTTCATTACTTCCTTCTTTCTGTTGCCACAGAGGCTACCAGTGGCCTGTTTTCCACCCCTCGTGCCAGTCACTGGTGCTGCAAATTTAAAGGAAGTTTTGATCATCTGTTTCTGAGCTGGTACCATGTGTAAATGCATCATCTTGGTGCACCCACCTGCTCCTGCTGCTGCTTAAARGATGGACTGGTTCTAATGTCTTCATCAAAGAAGGGAGGTGGATGCCCTGCTCAGAAAGAGCAAACACAAGTTTGTACCTTTTCCCTATTTCAACAATGTAGATGGAGAAATAGGATAGAGTTCCTGAAGGTGTTAGAACACCCCTTTTGTGACTTGTGCAAGTCATCCCCTTAAAGTAGATTTAATAAATAAATAATATATATAATAAATAGATTTAAAAAACAAAAATCAAATTTCTTGTTTTCTTTAAAGTTTGCAAGCTGGCCTACCCACATAATCGCAGGCAAGGTGAAACAGAAGGCTAGTTTAAGGTATGTGCTGGAGTACAGCAGGTTCCTACTGGCAATGTTTATTTTAAACCTCTACAGCACAGYGATTCCCTGCAATAAGCTGCTTGGATTACTGTTGTGAGTAGGGGAATTAATAATCCTTCCTTAAGAGCTGTTGTGCCTCAGGAAAATACAGGAAAAGCCGAGAAAGGCCAAAGCAGGGGCAAGAGTGAAGTTCTGGGTTGTGCTTTCCCTTGTACCATATCCCAGCACGGTCTACAGCTGAGCAGGAGAGGGCAGAAAGCCTCATGACATCCACCGCTCCGGCGTATTTTCTGTGCTGCCAGGAAGCCACTAGCAAGTGAAATCAAAGATAGGACGAGGTGTTGAGGAGGGACGCGCTCTTTTTTAATGAATGTCTGCAGGCAGTTTGAGTGATGAAAAACAGTCTCTTTGCTTCTCCGGCTTTCAAGGCTGTCGCAGATCTAATTGTCTTCCCCCAGTCTTGCTGTTACTCATTACTCTCAGCTGACAGGCAGACTAATAATAGCCCTGCTGCTGATCAGAGGCTGCAGCTGCTGCCAAACTGCTCGAGTTTTGTGCCTACCCCTACTTTTCGCTTGAAGCACTTGTGTGGAGTCTCTGTTAGCAGCTTGCTGTCTCCGGGAGCTAATGCTTAATGCTCGAAAGCACTCGGGACTCATTGGCTCTCATTAATGTTATGGCCGGGCAGGCTTTGGCAGCGTTTCTGCGCTGCTCATGCAGTCCCTGGGGTCTGGCATCCTTTAGTGCCCTTCACTATGGGAGCTGTTAACGCCAGGGTTTGGAAAAAAATCCCATCTTAGAGCTGTGCTGGCAGCACCTTCCCTAAGCCTTGCAGTCCTGTTGCCCTCGGGGGAGAAAGTCTTTGATCTCACTTTAAACAAATGGCTGAATTTTCCACATCTCAACACACGTATTGGGTATCGAATCAGGGACGCTGTTAGAGCGGCCTGAGTTTCAGAGGTCAAAGGCTTCTTGTAACACGAGCTGTTTTATAGGCCTGCATATTCAGTGCCCAAAATCACTAGTCCTGCTGGAAAAGCCAGCCATGGAGCATCACTTTTTTTTTTTTCCTGAGTTAAATAATAGTAAAGGACACTTTGCTCAGATGCTTAGCAACTGAATTGTTGCTGAATTTGTTTAACAACTCCATTCAAATATTGTGAGGAAAAATACCTTTCATCAGCTTAAGTCATCAGGCCTGAGGCATGTTGGGGTGCGAAAGGATGGAGATTTTTACAGTTGAACAGCTCCGTTTCTGAGAAGATGGGTTTTTGCCTCTGTTAGGGCTGGAATAAATGCATTGCTGGCTTGCAGCCCCAAATCCTGCTTGTGTAACATGTCCCCATCTCCRCGGCTGTGTGGATTGGGACACCCCTGAGAGCAGGACGAGGCTCTGAAGTAGCACACCTGGAAAAAGAGACCAGTTTAATGGGAATTTCTGAGGCCTGATGTTAGAGATGTCCATGAGCAGCCTTGCTGAGGCCTGTCACTGGCCTTAGCCATCTCAAGCTGTCTCCCTGAGGTAAACCCTGTGGAGAACTCTGAKTCCTTTGCTGTCCCAAGTCCCTGGTCATGTAAAACCTGACGGCAGCACCAAGTCCTGCCTGCTTGGGGTTTTTCCACSCAGGAACTGGCCTCTTTCTCGGCCACATGGGTGCTGAGGTGCTTGAGGGAGACACCCAGACCAGGCAGAGCTCCCCTGTCGTGGAGGGAAGGCTTCCCTCTGCGGAAAGGCTGCCCTGAGAGGAAGGCAGCCATAACCCACCTGCAAGCAGTTCAATCCCACTCCAGCTGGACACAGCTCACCCAGAATGGGCTCCAGCTGGGGAGGAACCAGCTCATATTTAAGGCCGAGGCACCTCATGCCTGGGTGTGGGTTTTATGGGTCTTTTTAGGTGTGACTTTTGTTTATGTTCAGGCCTGATTTGGCTGAGGGAGAAGTGGACAAGAGGTGAGGTTATATCTGCCTTTTGGGAGGCCTGTTTTTTCCCCCCCCCCGTTTATTTGTATTTTTCCTCCCTAAGATACGTGATCTCTTGCTGAAACCCTCCAGTCACTGGTGTTGCTGCTGTTGTCTTGTGAGGGAGAAAAGCTCCTGTCAAAGGAGAGCTCTGCCCTAGAAAAGCCAGCAGGTTCTGTCATGGATGTGGCATCAACAAGATGGCCATGCTCTGGTGGGTCTGGGCTGCTGTTTTTTCACTTTTTGGGAGTTGGTTTTTTTCCCAAGCTGCACCTCAATGTACATCCATGGGTTCTTGGGAGAATTCTGTGATGCGGAAGCAGATGTGGGTGCAGGATCCGAGCGCTCTTCTGGAGCAGGCACCTCTAGGCTGTTGTGTGCTTCTCAGTGGAGCTGCAGCTGGGCTGCTGCCCCTCGTCCCCAAGGGAGGGAGGAGCTGAYGTGGCCACTGGCTGCTGCTCTTGTACCAAGTGTGAACTGGAAGGGGAACAGGGACTGCTCCTTGGAAGCTGCCAGGCACCTCAGTGAGAGGTGGAAAGAGTAGGATCGCAGCACAGGAAGGCACCCCAAATCTGGCTGTGCTCTCACTAATGTGGGACCCGAGAGCTGGGGACTGCAGCTCCACTTGGACCTTTCCAGTAAGGCCAGAGGTCCTGCTCCTGTCGTTGCTCCATCAGTTACTCCCTAGAGTTATGGCTGTGTTACAGGTCCAGCAAAATTAAAGTCAGTGCTGTTTTGCAGGGCCGCGTGTCCTCCCTTTGCTCTTTTTAGGCCCTAATTACAGACAGGGGAGGAAAAGGAGGAAGCAGGGTCTTAACATGTGCATGTCTTTCAGTTTAGATCCAAATAAARTCCATCCCTCCAGTTTGGTGCAGAACCTTCTGTGCAGTGTGTTCTGGTTGACCTCTGGGAAAGGGACACAGGACGTGGGCTCACTGTGCACCAGGGTCATCCAGCCTTATTGAATGGCCAACAATTGGTCAACAAAGAGCTCCTGAAATATTCAGGGGGGTGGTTTTCAAATGTGTGTAACTTAATTGTTTTGGTTTCATCTTGCAGTTGTGAATAATTGATTTGGCTTCCTTGTCTTACTGTTGGGGAAAAGACCCTTGGAGGACTTCCTAGCTCTCTTAAAGTGGTTGGAGGAACAAGGCGGAGGCTTTATCACTTGGGAACAGAGAGGACTGGAATCTGCCCTAAGTAGCCTGGGGTGCAGGCTCAAGGGAGGGTGTTTTCTGCTGCTCTGAGGCAGCATTAGGTTTGAAAGAATGAGATTGATATTATATATTAATGCATGAAAGCTAGAAAAGAGAACAGACCAGCACTGGCTCTGGTCACCCCAACTACCACCAAACAGGGCTGTTGTGCATCTGTGCAGTGTCATCTCTGGCTGGAGAATGGAAGCGAAGGTGGGGAAGCACAAGCAAGATCACAGTTCCAGAGATGGCTTGATTCTCATTGCAGCTATCAAGCTTTAAGGGTCTCTACATGAGGGCAAGCTGCATCGCTGCTCGCACCCTTAGTGTGAAGTGAATCTGTTGTCTTTGATAGTCATGTATGCAAACCTATGTGGTGAATCGGGGGCTGAGTAGGGCACATAACCCAAGTCTAGATATGTGCTCCATGGTCCAGTTTGCACATGGGTCTGTAGGTAAAATGCGGAAATGTCGTGTGTTTGCTGGTGGTTGCTTTCCTTTCCTCTCAGAAGATAGGAACAAACTGCCAGTGTTTTGCTAGGAGCACTTTAGAAGCCAAAGAAATTTAGTGTTGAGTCTGCAGAGTTTGGGTTTGAGCTGCTGAGACAGATTGGCTTGATTTGGAGAGAAACCCAGGAAGGGGAAAACCATTCCKAAATTCAGAAAAACCTAGGAATGGGAAAGCAATCAATGGATGTGGCAGTGATGTTGCATGGACATAATCACTTTCTATCCCCTTGTTGCTGGGAATACCTTTGTACTGCCTGCAAAAGCTTTGTTGGAAGGGGAGCYGAGAAGAGGAAAGCAAATAGGATGTTGTCTTTGTGTTGGCTACCGGCCTGAGCCATGAGGGCAGAGTGAGGGCAGAACAGTGCCTGTTTTGCTGCCKTCTGTGCTGTGCTGGGAGCTGCTTTCCTCCTGTGAGCAGAGAAGTGGGTGGCGTGAGGGGGATGAGGGAGCTGTGCCCCAACCTACCTGATTTGGGCTGCCTGAAATCAAGCTCCAAGGTTGCAGAATAGAGAGGCCTCTGGGTTAGTCCTTTGCACCGTGTCAAGCTCCTCTTTGGGTGGTATTCCTGGTGCCCTGACTGACAGCAGCTGTAACAGCCGTTTTTGGTACTGGAATGGACGTCTCCTTTTTGGGCTCCAGCAATGTACCCAGTTGTCCCCGAGCCCGGTCTCTGCCTGGGTGACACGTCTCCTGTCCTCTTACCCAAACCGCTGCCAAGTGGCTGGTGCCCTTGCTGGTTGAAAAGTTCAGAGGTKCCAGGAGAAGGCCTGAATTATTGATGCCAGTTTTGTTCCGTGCACTAAGCCTGGCCCAGCCAGAATCGATGTCAGACTCTGCAGCTGGGCAGGGTGGCTGGGACAGACCGTGACTGCTTGGAAACCAGGCCCRGGGGAGCAGACACGTTACCTGTACATGAATGTGAGCTGGGGTGTGTGGTGCTGAGCATCCTGCTGGGATCGAGATGGACAGCGTAGGACGTCGAGAGATTTACTCGAAGCRGCTCGAGCAATTCTTGCAGGTGAATGAAAGCATAAGGTGCTGAGAYGAAATTCTGGACTTTGTCCTTGAAATGAGGTAGGAGAAACCGCTCAGTTTCTCRGAGACCAGTGTTTATTGGGAGATGAGATGAACAACTGCTGCTGCTGTTAATGATAACGATTCTTCTTTCTGTCTGCAAATTCATGCTGCGTTTCCTAATAGCATTGAGGTGGGTCTCTCTCRTGTAAGCAATTCTCTTTTCCTCTAAGATGGCAGAATAAAATCAAACTGTTCTTTTTGCTGTGGTGATTTAGAAGGAGTAGTTACAAAGAGTTAGAAAAACAGATGAGCATGGTCTTTCACCTGCTGTAGTGTTCTAGGGAGGCAGATGGTCCAGGGCAATTAGAAAGTATGTTTATGTGAGCCATGTTTATGTGAGCCATGATGCATTTTGCCATTACCATTTCCGCGTATAACTCTTGCTATTTGGGTTAAACTGTAATTTCAGGACAGATCAAATCTTGAAGATGAGCTATTTAATGATGCCCTTTCCTTGCATCACAGAACTTGAAGTTCTCTTTCTGGGATAAATTGTTATTATTGAACAATAATTAACATATTTATATAAACTTAGCCCTTATTGTTAAGGGAGAAGTGCCAGAAGAAAAAGGGAAAGAATAGAAAATGATGACAGAAAAGGGAGGTGTATTTTGGGGTCTGTTTTGCTTTGCATTCTAGTACTGCATTGTGAATTCAACTTGAACAATTTGAGACRGATGCTTTTTCTAAACATTTTTGCTCTCTTTTCAGTTCAGTCTACTCAGTGATATAGCATCCACTCAGTGTTMTGTATTTCAGGCTTCAAGCTAGTGTTGCCCATGTAGGTCCGGTTGTGATTCTGGGTACCTTCCAAATGGAGTTAATGAAACTTTCCATAGCTGAACCAAGATTAGTGCTCACATTCTTCTGAATGCTGGAGAAATGGCTGCTTCCCGAGCCAAGACTCGTCACAAAAAGTTTGGAAGAGAGAAAGTGCTGAACTGTGAGGAAAAGGCAAACTCTCTTGGGGACTCAAAGGCCCCTTTGGGGAGACCATGGGAAGAAAAGAGTAAAGGCCAGTTGATGGGCAAAGAGACATTGCCTGAACAAGAGGGAACTCTTGACCAGGACACTTTAAAAAGCCGGAGCCTGGTGAGGCCRAAGGGAGGCCAAGAAAGAGGCCACAAGAAGTTTCTGCGGGACGAGAGAGCCTCCAAGAGCAGTGATCAAAGAGAATCTGGTTTTAGGAGAAAACGTGGAGAGCAATTAGGGTACAAAGTGAAGAAAAGAGGAAAGGCCTCCAGACGACGGGATCTGACATCAGGACAAGAAAGCGACAGCAGTGCTGGAAAGGAGGGAAGGGCCACTGTAGAGAGCAAGGAAGAGAATTTTAAAAGGAAACATGGGAGGCATCCTGTGGGTGAAGAAGTCCCCGAGTCAGCRTCTGTAAAGTCCTTGTCCATGCAAAGTGTGGAAGGCCCTTTCCAGACACGTGCCTTGCCCCAGGAGGCACGTGAGGCCAGGCCTGGGGAAAGACGTGGCAGAAACAGTGGCTCCAAGGAAGCTTCTGCACGGAAGTCAAGGCCTCGGTTCCAAGGTAGTGCAGCCCTAAGCAAAGGTGAGAGACGTGGAGGAAAGGGAAGTGGAGAACATACCAGGATTCATGCCACTGAAAGGGCAGGAGACAAGATCTTGGAAAGTGCAGAAGAAAAGATCCTGGAAACTTCATCTGAGTCCAGCCATGAAGCCCATTGGACCAATAAAAGCAGTGAAAGAAAGACTGGAACTGACAGCACTGGAAGCAGTGAAGAGGAGAGAAGATCTTTGGAGGAAGATGGCCACCATGAGAAAGAAGCCATGCTAGAAGGGCTTCCTGTAGTCCAAGGAAAAGGTTGTGAGAAGCTGCTCCATGAGAGCAGTGAAGCAGCTAGTGAAACCGAAAGGGTGCAGGTGGCCGGGGATGGAAGGGAGGAATGTGAGGATGAAGGATTGGCMGGGTTAAAGGTAGAGGAGAAACTGAAGAAGCAAGATGACACACCAACACAAAGAAAACCTATTCTAGCTGAGAGCGGTGAGGAAGATGATGATACAGTTGTTGCAGGGTTCCAATTCAAAAGAGCTAACAACAGAGAAAAAGACAATAATGAAGAAGTCAAGGAAAATACATTAGAGAAGGACAATGGTCAAGACATGTTGAAAGATGAACATGATCCTTCTAACAGCAGTGGGGAGAACAGCACTGAAGTGAGCACTGACAAAAGAAAAGGAGCAAGAAGTAACCTGCTGTCTAGGGGTGTGAAAGCAAAACGCACTGACCTTACCAAAGTCCTTCAGGGAAGTGAAGAAGAGGAGAAGGTGGGTGATGAAGGCAGCACACTGGAAGATAGCCCTTTCCTGTGTGAGCAACAAGTGGTGTGGAAAGAGCAACCCAGGAGCTCYGATGCTCCAGAACAAAGTAAAGTGGAGGGACACATATGGACAGACAGGTCCTCTTTCGGTTGTAGCAAGCAGAGGTTAGCAGTGATGATGGTTACAAACAAATGCTTGTCTTCATCCCAAGTTCTTTTCAATATGAAGAGCAAAACTAAAGCTGCTGAGATGAACTCATTAACAACATGTAAAACAAATTCTGTCCAGATGGCTTTGGAAACCAACCCTCACCCAAAACGAGAAGAAAGCATCTGTTCAAAACCTGCCATGCTAGAAACTGTCAATATATATAAGGAGCCTGAAATAGCTCAGAGTTTGTCACAGAAAAGATCAAATCTTTCAAGTATTTCAAACTGCACCTCTGTTACAAAAAAAGCATCTGATAATCAGCTTCCTTGCAAGAGGAAGAAAGTTAAAGTTGTTGGGAAGGTTAAACTGGGTTTAGGCCAGAATCTAGAGACAGAAAAAGAGGAAGCAGAGGACAAAGTGATTGCAGATGCACCTTCTGAAAAAGACAATGTGCAGGGTGGGAAAGGATCCAAGCATTCCCACACCCTTTCTACTTTCAAAAGAGTCACCAGCTGGCTCAGTCAAAAACCTGCCAAGAAAAGAAGCCTGAAAGCTCGGCTTATGAGYGTGGCCCGTGCGATTGGTGTCTCGAGATGGCTTCTGAAGAAATTTGGGAAAAGGAAGAAGAGCAGCAAGCCATGTGGATCCAGAAGGAGACTGGAAATCAGGATTGTAAGCTCTTCTGGKTTGGGTGGTAGGCCTGGCAAAAGCTGCCCTGGTGCAGTGGGACAGCTGGGGGTGAAGGAGCTGATTGACCAAGAATCTTCTTGGCCATTAGTAGAAGGGAAAGGTGGTGCTGAGATGACAGAGGACCTGAGACATCTGGATTTCCATTCTAAAGGTTCCCCTCTTCATGCAACCACCTCCTTCCCATACTTCCTTAGCTTGGATGATGAGGAGGAAGGGAACGATGCTGCTGATGCCAGGTTTGCTGTAGTGTTCCCTAGAGTGCACAGCATTGTTCAGACAGAGCCTTCCTTATCTGGGTGCTCTGGGAGTGGTTATTCCTTGGAGAAAGGGAGAGCTCGATTGGGCAAAAAATCTGTGGCACCTGTGCAACAGGATTGCAGGTTCAATTGTGACATTCCCGGATCTTTGATGGATAAAASCCTCCAGAGAAACAGCCAGCAATATTCTTGCAGTGGTGAAATATTTGCATCAATGGCAGGCAGTGCAAGAGAGGTGGAATCCACTGCAAGGCAGTACAGAGTGATGAGACTAATGAGCTCCTCGCCTCGGCAGATCAGGACTCCTGAGGGAGCTCCCACATCCCGGTTCTTCACTGCTGGCCGAGACTTGTGGTCTCACCGCAAAGACACTAAACTCTCCCTTTCTCCAGAAGCATCTGGAAATTACTGCTGTGCTCTGGGCTTCCTTCCACAGCCAGAGGAGGATTTGAAGTATGTGACAGATTATTCCCGTGAAGTAGATATCAAAGAAAACCCCAGAGTCCTTCAGATCGCACAGTCAAAAGCCACATCTTGTGTTCACTGGTCTCAGCAGCAGGCTCGGGGCTATGATCCTGCAGCGTGGCTGACCTCTGAATTGCTGCTCCCACGGCTCACTATTGAGAACCTGAGCAAATGGACCATTTACAGAGACCCACATTGGTCAAACAGTCATGGGATGAAGGACTTCAAGGATCAGTGGGAAGCAGAAGATATTACTGAGGATGTATTGGACATGGATTTCGTGCGGAAACAGGTACAGGTGATGTCTTCRGGAGTCATTTGAGCAGAGTGGTTGGGGAGGAAGCAGAGCTGACTTTCAGCACTGTGTCTCTGTATTTCAGGTGTGCATGAGTGAAGAGAGCAGCGTGGAAACTGAGGAAGTTGAAGATCTAACTGGCCTGGAGTACGTACAGGCAGCAGTGTCCTGCAGCTGACTGGAAGTCACRGGGCCTTTATTATCCTTTAAAGTTCCTATTGGCTCAACAGCAGAAAGAACATTGTAGATTCTTGGCTGCCACTTGAGGAAAAATAGAATAAATTTGGTGTGTACCCTAGTCAAGGGGCTACTGCTCCTGAGAGAGGCTCAGTCACACTATTTGAGTCATGGGCCTGCAGTGCAGCGGGGACTCCCGACTACATTGTGTGCGCTGTGTCCCTATGATCTGCTGCACAGAGTGCACCGCAGTCTTGAGTGTCACACAGCAGGTGTGTGCAGACATACCTGGGGAGCTCTAGGTCTCCTGCTAAATTATTCCACTTTCTGGATAGTAAAAATGAGGTCTGGAGGTTGATGTGACCTCTGTGACTCAGGTAGCCTTAACATGCTGCTTGGAGGGACAACTTTAGAGGAGATGGGAGTGTGRCATAGGGACAGGCTGGGTATTCTGAGCTTTGGCTGCTTTATTCTTTCTCATGTGGTTAACCTGGAYAGGTTGGGAACACTTAAAGCCAATAAATAGTCTCATCTTCTGGCCTCTTAACCTTTCTCCCCTTACAAGAATTTCTTAAGGTTGAAACCTGTAAGTGAAGCCTGTAGCTGATGAGTCCTCTCCTTTGTTTCTAGGGAGGTCTGTGAGCATTCGGTTCTGCTGTGTCTGAAGAAGAGGTTCCACTGCAATTTCATTTATGTACGGGCAGCGAGATTTATTTTCTAAAGTGCATTTCTTCTGGACAAGAAGTTTCAAGAGAAAATGATAATTCACCAAGTTGCACAAGAGACCACTCATTTCTAGGAACAGTGATAAGAGGGTCATGCACTGTTTGCGTTCAAAAAAGGGGTAGCATGAAATATTGGTGGTGAAATTCAAAAACATCAGAGTTTCTCTTAAATTTTGGTGTTCGTTGCCAATTCTTAGGTGCAGTTGTGCTCATTTTCTGGCTCAGCTGCTTCTAAGGGAGGGAACAGCCYTGTCCTAGCAAAACACTAAAATTTGCGGATCTCAAGGTGAAACTTTGGAGTTCCAGCAAACATCTCAGTGTTGCAGACTGGTGCTAAGAGGATGGACTGTTCTCTTCAGCACTTACAGGCTCAGGCCTGATGTGCCGTGTGGAGCCTGGAGAACAGGAAGTGACCAAGAAAAAATACCCTCTTCTCACATAATGATGCAATGTTGGGGGGAAAAAAAAGTTCCCCTAGACCACTAGAAAACCTCGCYGTGCCCTGAATGAGCTGGCAGTTTAGTCAGAGTATATAATATTCCTTTAAAGTTGATTTAAATAATTGTCAGTATACATATTTCCAGTCAGTAGTGTTCCTCATTTGGGATGTTCTAATAAGCCCCCAGGCATRAAAAAACCTTTTTCTCCTGTTTTTGCGCTAGACGTACATTGGACCGATACTGGTTTCTGTGAATCCTTTTAAAGACCTCAATATCTTCTCTGAAGACGTGGCTATCCAGTATCAACAAGGGAGTCTCTCCAAAAATTCCCCGTATGTTTCTCTTTCTCAAGTAATTCCCTACACCCCTTTCCCTTTGGGCTGTGGAAACTGTTGTGGTTGTTTCTGGCGCTCTGATAGAGCAGGAAAAATGCCCCTGGAAGTGAGCATTCCAAAGTGGTAGTTGCCTGAACCTSTGATACTTGGAGCAACTCTCTTGAACTCAACTTCCTTCATGACGGTGGGGACTCCTAGGTGTGATGCTGGTTTCCAGCAKTTTGTATTTTCCCTTGCAATAACTGGCACACTGCTGGTGCTGCTGGAGCTGGCAGCACAGGCAGGTTCCTTAGTGCAGATAAGGCTGCTGGGGCCACCTGTATGGGACACCATGGGCCAGAGCTTGGCTCGAGTTGGGTTGAAGAGACCATGTGAGGCCCTGGGCCTCGTAGTGCCTTTTAGGAGTGATACTGATTTAAAGTCAACAAGACCAAAGCTCTGATTTCCCCAACCCCTTGTGTTTCAGATCRTGATCTATCCTGTCTCTTATGTAGGTGGCTTGATGAGTACCCTTTCAGTGCCACATTTGTGTGGCAGAAATGTGTGAATTGATTTAGTTAACTGGATTTTTCCCTTCTGTGCAACTAGACATGTCTTTGCTATAGCAGAAAYGGCCTACACGTTATCCCAGTCATCATCACAAGAACAATGTGTCATCATCAGGTAAGAACGAGGGTACTCTATTTATTTTTATTTTATTTATTAAAACTTTCAACTTTGATTCACTGACTATGAGCTTATCACTCAACAACCCGTGCACACACTGARAGTAGAAAACAAAATGTGACAGATTTTTTTTTTCTTTCACTTTGCACAAAGATAGTTTGAATTTAGTTTCTCCTGAGCTTGCAAGAGTGGGAGAAAAGGACTTTGACCTTCCRAAGTGGATTATTTGGGTTCCTCTTGCCATGTTGCCTCAATATTTCAAACAATACGTGACAAATCTTCATCTACTCAAACCAGTACAACTTCACTGATCAGGATCTCTGCTGTGGTTGTATCAGGTAAATCTGTTTTGACTCCTGCTTCCTTAACTCTTTTTCCTCCAGTGGGCACAGTGGATCAGGTAAAACGGAGGCTGCCAAAGCAATTGTGCTGTATCTGGCCATGCTGTACCAGAGAGCAGACAGCTGCAGGAWCACGCAGGTAAGAGGCCACTGAGTTTATGCTTTAAGGATTTGGCAAGAAATGGAAGCCTAAGTTAGTGTAAGAGGCTCTGGTATTTGTGATGTGTCTCCATTCCTGTTTCTCTGGGTTTTGGATGGGTTGTGGTTGCAGGTGAAGCTGCTGTGAAGCCAGAGGCACAGCTGATGTGCCTTAAGCTGATGTGTACTTAAGTTTCTTTTGGTTTAAAATCTACAGCAGCAACTAAGGCATTCTCTCCCTTTTTTCTTCAAGCCCTGCAATGTTCTACCTATTCTGGAGAGTTTTGGGAATGCCAGAACCATTCTCAATGACAACTCGAGTCGTTTTGGGAAGCTTCTACATGTCCACCTGCAGCAGTGAGTTGGAGGGACATTGTGGGATACTGCTCTTCCCTGCTGTCCAGGAGGTGCTTGGCTGAGAAGCCTAGCAGTAGTCAAGGACCATGCAAAAGCCCTCCCTCCCATTGGGGATAGGAGTAGAGTTTAATCCTCTACTTAGCTTTTAAATTTCCTGTGTAAAAGACTAGATCTGTACCTCTCAACATGGGAAATAAATTAAGAAAATAGGAACATCTGAACTTGTTTATATCAAGGAATAATCAAAACCGATGTTGTGTCTCCAGCGCTGGTGACAAATGTCCACTGGGGCAACAGCAGCCCAAATATACGATGCTTCACTCTGACCTTCTAAAAGCCCTCAACTGTTCTCAGCTCTGAATCTTTTCRGAGCCTGTTGTGGTTTTCCAGTTTCTTCTTGAGCTGGTGTAAACTGCATGCATCTGCAGCAGGCTCTGCTGAGTGTTCTACAGGTCTAACCTGTTTGGTGAAAAAACACCTCTTTTTGTTTTGCACCTGCCTTTCTAACCTTTTTTGCCTGTTGCTAGGCACTGAGCTAATGTTTTTTTGTGGAACTGTCTTGTTATAACCCAAAGGCCTCAGTCTTAATGGTTAGAGCCTTTCAATGTCATGGTCTGATCCAAAATGCCAGTGTTGGATGTCTTCAAAATTCAGGCGGGGTTGGTCAGATTGGACCCTTGTTTCCTGGTGACARCTCTGTCTGCTAGACCCTCAGATAAATGATCTACAGGAAATCTGTCACTAGCCTCTTACAGAATGTCTCCTTCTTAACCCAGTGGGGCCATGGTGGGAATGTCCATCTCCCAGTACCTGCTGGAGAAGTCTCGTGTGGTGTTTCAGGTAAGGACCCATGAGTCCCTCCCTTCTAGATGGGTCCTTCAACTCTATTTGTATTACTCATATTTTATGTTAAGGTCACTTTTAAATCAAAGGAATGGGAATAAGCGTAAGATTTGCTTCCCATTTTTTTCTGTTAGCAAGAAATATGTCACAAGATGTCCACTTCTCTTTTTTGAATAAAATAGGAACTCCCTCAACTCCAAGCAGGTTGAATTAAGCCACTTATTAGGACTTTCTCACCTTTCTTACCTACGCGAGTGCTTGGTTGGTGGCAACGTGAGTCCTGGAACTGAACTCAAGTCAGTTCTGTAAACTGTGTATCCCGTTAGGCTCATGGTGAGAGGAACTACCACGTGTTTTATGAGCTACTGGCTGGACTGCCTATGGAGCAGAAAGAGGAGTTGTACTTGCAAGAGGCAGAGTCTTACTTYTACCTGAACCAGGTGAGTGAGATGATGATGCTTTAGCTGATAGAGTGAAATTGCTGAGACTTCTGTCTGACTAGCAAAGCCCTTTATGAGGCACTACATAASTTTGCTTCCCTCCTGATTGTGCCCCTCAGGACTGAGCTGGTTTGCTCTGCTCCTTCTCACACCTGACCCAAAAGGAATGTCTTGGTGTCTTGTTTCCTCTTTGTTCATGGCCCCTGCTGCTCCCAATGAAAGACTTCTAAAAGAAGTCTAATCATTGTGTGGCCCCTTGGCTCCACCTCGTGGTGTGGAAATCCCTTGCTTGTCACCTTTTAATTTTTAGCAGAACTAAAGAAAGAGAAATTGTTTTTACCTTTTCCAAAACGCACTTAACTGACTGAGTCAGTGGGTGGGAAGCCTAAAACCATTGCAGTAAACTTTTGATTTGGATTGATTTACACCAGAAAATTGTTCCCTAGACCTTTGGCAACTCATCATCTTGGAGCCCAGTTGGTTTTGCTTAAGAGTGGTTTCCACACGCAGGGACTTCAAAGCATCTGCAAGATATCTTGCCCCTTTCAGCTGTGTGGCTCAGCTTTCCCAGGTGAAAAAACCCTCTTTAACATCAGCTGTGGCCATCTGAGGAATGCTGGATGCATGATTGCTATCATCTCTCCTTCAGGCAAGGAAGGGACAAGTAGCAATGACTCAAGGATGGAGGACAATTAAGGGCCTCTSCTACCTGGTAGATACTTATTAGGCAGTTGCTAAGGGCTAGAAAAGTTGCCTGCTTGAGGACAAGTCTGGCTGGAGGAKGGTAAAAACCTTTACCCACTACCTGGGAATAACTGAGAAGACTCTGCTTTTTCTGAGGTCTCCTGGTAAGGTTGTGTTGACTTGTCCTGTGGAAAACTTGCACCTGTCTCCAGCATTATCCTGCCAGAACCCACTGGATTTGATGCAGCTGCTCTGATAGGGATGTGGGTGGTTTTGTCAGCTCTATTTATAGAGGGGCTGTAACTGCCTCTGCAAAAAGATGCTCTTACAGTCTCCTGGGGGAGGCCCTGGTGGTAAAGGTTTTGTGTTGTAAACCAGGTCTTATGAGGTGTGATGTTGTAGGTGATAGTGGGCAGGAGTGTGTTAGCTTGCTGCAGAGAAGAGATGGGAAAAGATTATGTAGAAAGAAGTTTAGTAGAGACTGAGAAAATCTCTCGTAGATCTTGGCAGGAGAAGTCCGAGAGCTACTGGAACCCCACTTGTTTCATTGTCAATTGGGAGCTTTCTTCACAGGCTACTGTTACACAGACAGGTTCTACAGACCTCCTTGGGCCAGGGCCTCCAAGGATCATAGAATTATAGAATCCTTAAGTTTAGAAGGGACCTCCAGAGGTCATCTAGTCCAGCCCCTGCACACACAGGTTCACCTAGAGCACGTAGCACAGGATTGTGTCCAAGTGGTTTTGAAGATCTCCAGAGAAGGAGACTCCACAGCCTCTCTAGGCAGCCTGTTCCAAGTACTTGAGTACAAGGGGGTCACCCTTGTAGAGAAAAGCACGAGGAATCTGGGCATCATCTGTGTGCAGTGTCAGAGGTGAGACTGTCACCCTGGGCTGTGTTCTCTGTGTATAGAAACCCCTTTGCTTGGCCTCACTACACTAGGTGCTGGTACCATCTGGGGTAGTAACTCTGGCTGGCCTCCCTTGGAGGAGATTCCAGTATCCTGGCAAACTGCATTCCTGTGTCTGTGAGCACCCATAGTGGGAGCATAATCAAAATGTGTCCCCTATGGGCAAACAGGGATCTTGTTCTCAAACCCTCCCAAGGAGACGAGAGACTGGCCTGCTGTGAATGCTGAGCTCCCACTAGTGGCAGCTGGTTGTGGTGTGTCTGGGCTTTCTTTATCAGATGTTTCCAGCCCTTGCCCTTGAAATCCTGGTGGGAAGCTTCCTGCTGGGGCCTCAGCTCCAGCTGGGGGGCACAGAGGCCTGACTGCAACTTTCTGTCCCTTTTCCAGGGCAGAGCATGTGACATCCTGGGGAAGGAGGACAGTCAGGACTTCGTGGTCTTGGTGCAAGCTCTGGAGGGAATCAGCCTATCGGATGACCAGATGTCCTCTACCTGGGCTGTGCTGGCTGCCATTCTGCAGCTGGGGAACATCTGCTTTACCTCCTATGAGGTACACTAACCCTTGGCAGCTTCAGATAGTGCTACTAGTGCTGAACACTGCAATTGTCCCGTGTGATAAGACCAGGATTGTTGTTTTTGACTGAACATGATGTGATCTGAAAACCATCTTGTTTCTTGGATATGTGGTTTAAGACTGATCTAGGTAGAGACAGAAGATGGGAGGCAACCAGGGGCTATTAGAGCTTGGATGGCTTTTTGAGGAGCCAAAGTGGACTTAGATGGTGGTGTCTTATCCTGGCTATGTGACCTGTCTCTGTGCTGCTGAGATATTGTCAGAAGTGTTAGTTTTATCTGGTGTCTGGTCCACAATTTCATCTGTTGTTCTCCGTTATCTAGAAAGGATCATTTGAACATGCAGCCATTGCCAGTGATACCGAGATTCGGATTGTGGCTAATTTGTTGAGCATCTCAGCAGATCTCCTGCAAAGTGCTGTCACTCACCGAGTCACCGTGAGTATCTCTGCGTCCTTTCACATTTGTCCCAAGGATACCTTGTGGGGTCCAAAATCTGGGAAGTAATTGCAGAAACAAAGTGCTGCAAAATGGTTTCTATGCTAGAYCAGGAAGGCTGTGCTGAACCTCTCAAGGAAACTTTCAGGGTGCAGAGATTGTAAGGTGGCAGAACTCACACCTAGGAGGCTGTTTTCTAACATGAGATGGTGTTAGGCTCTGCTAGTTGGCTCTCCAGCAGAGAGGTGGAAACAATTCTGTTTTTATTTTTTCCTTTATGGTATGTGTAGGGAATAGCAAGATAATAATAAATCACAGCTCTTTTTATGTGCTCAGGTGATGTCGTATGATCGGATCTTCACCCCTCTGTCTGTAGAAGGAGCCATTGATGCCAGGTATTTCCTGCTGTTTGTCTGGGCTGATGAGATGCACCCAAGGCTGCTGGCTCTGCTGTAACTGTCTTCACTTCTCTCTTCCACTCAGAGACTCCATTGCTAAGACTCTGTATTACCTGCTCTTTGAATGGCTGCTGCTAAGGATCAACGAGTGGTTGGCCCCCTCAGAGACAGACTGCACTGTGGGCATCGTGGACATCTACGGTTTTGAGGTTGCTCTTCCCATTCCTTTCATATTTTATGGCTACAGGTGTGTGCACTGTCTCCAGCTGCCGATAGAGGTGGGAGGGAATTTGATCCTGTCTTTGCAGAAAGACAACGGTATTTACACCATGTAACTTAAGGTCTGTGGGTTTTATACTTAGGATTCATGTTAAAGTCTATGCTTGGCTTAGTGCCTGGTGAGAACGATGGTACGTGTATAAGTGGGGATATGCATCCAAGAGGACATCTTTCTCTCTTCACGTTCCTTCAGTTTTTGTTCCTTGCTGCTCAACCTAGTCAATAAACCAGGCYGAGAACTTAAAAGCCAAACATGATATAATTTGGATTTCTCAGATTCAGTTGATTAGATCAAGTTGCCTGGACTGGGGGCTCAGATCGGCACTAGCCGGTGCTRTGTGTTATGCCCCAAAGGTCTGGCCTTCTGAGGGGCTGCGAGTTGGACCTGCGATGCCTTTTTGTCTTTGTAGGATCTGGAGGTGAACAGCTTAGAACAGCTCTGCATCAACTTTGCCAATGAGCATCTCCAGCACTTTTTCAGCCAGACTGTCATTGCCCAAGAGGAGGTAAGTGGAACTCATGACAGCAGATGAGGGGCAGCGTGTTTGGAACCAGCTGAGGCAGCAGCCCCTGCAGAGGGCCCTTTAATGAGGAATAATGAAGTACCTTCTTGAAGAGTTAAACCAGATATTTTTAACTCCTTGAATTTGTTCTGTTTTTGTGGCTGGATTTGACTGGTTGATCTCTAACATGCAGGAGGAATATAGCCAAGAACAGTTAGTTTGGATTCCCATTTCCAATATGTACAGTGAGTCGTGCCTCAGTTTCATTTCTGCAAAACCCCATGGCATCTTGTGTATCTTGGATGACCAGACTTCACTGCCTCAGGTGAGGAACCCTTCTCATCTGATCTGTCACAGGATGTCTATGGCAGGGTAGTTATATCCATTAACAGAAGTACTTTTATGTTTACAGAGGTACATTTTGTGTTCTTGTCACCAGTATAATAGCTTTTTGACCCACAGAATATGTTGAGCAGTAGGAAATGTGTCTGTCATCTCCCTTTCAGGCCACTGACCACACTTTCCTCCACAAGTGTCATTACCATCACGGGGACAGCCCTTGGTACACCAAACCCAAGCTCCCTCTGCCCGTCTTCACTGTCAAACACTATGGGGGCCCTGTCACCTATCAGGTGAGCTCAGTGGGTTGGCAGGTGACTTGGAGCAGTGGGTCTGAGTGGAAACATGCTGTGGGTGTCCTGAGGGACCAGCTCTGAGTGCTGTGAACAGATAGCTCTTTCTGTAACTAACTGTACCTCCCTCTGGAGTGCCAATGTATCAGCAGTGAGGAGAGAGAAACAGGGCTGACTGTGGGCAGAAGCAAAGCAGGTAACTGGAATTACCTACTTTTTGCTCACACAAGAGCCTTGGAAAACTGGAAAAGCTGGTGCTGCTGAAGGGGGAAAGTGATGCATGAGAGCCTGTCTGGCAGTCCCTTCCACTGTGAGGGAGGGAGGAAAAGAACAAGCAGCAGCTGCTTTCCTCTCCATGCTTGGTGGCAGAAGGGACAGCAAGCTTCAGTCTCTAGCACTTGTTCCCAGCCTCCTTTTCCACTCATCTGTTCTAATCCCAGACATGTGTAGGAGAGGCATCTGCCTTCCTGGTTTGATCTGTACTCTTCATTAAATCAGGCTTTGTCTTTGCCAGGTCCACAAGTTTCTTGCTAAAAACCGTGACCGGCTGCGTCCAGAGGTGTTGGATATCTTCTCTCAGAGCCGCCTCAAGGTACTGGAGTGGGTGAGGATCTAGGCTTCAGGCACCTAACAAGGCCTTTATGGTTTTCATATGAGAAGCAGACAGAGTGATAAGGTTTGGGGGGAATCCGGAGGAACTGTGAAAAGATTCCTGCTGCTGAAGGGCACAAGAGAATTCAGCAAGTCCCTTCTTTTACTGCTATCAATGCATTTGATATGTAAAACTTACAGACTTCCTCAAGATGCAGCTGGGATAAAGGGTAAATTCCAGTTTCAGATAGAAAAGACTGTTCTTTCCATGTGTTTGAGGGATCTCTGGTTGTTCCTCTGTGTCTTTGCAGTTGGTGTCTCACATTTTCACAAAGGCTAAGGCTGCCTACAACCAGCAAAGGGAGCTGGGGGCCAGAGGGAAGGGGCTCAAACCTCAGGCTTCCACACTGGTGTCCAAATTCCAGGAATCTCTGCAGGACCTCACAGCCAAGCTGAGAAGGTGAGAGAGGACATCRTGGTGCCATCTCTACTTTGGGCTGATTGCTGCACCCAGAGACTTTTCTTCCTCGCTTATTTTGGGCTTGATTAGAGTRGGTGCTTGAGCAGAGTTGGGTTGTGAGCTGCTGAAGCAGAATGAGAGGATGGTGGTATGTGTTAGAGGTTTCTTGGCACTGCAAAGTCTGCCCAAGTCAGCACAGAGAGGAGGCTGCTGAAAGGTTCTTTTCTGCTTTGCAGGAGCCATGCCTTCTTCATTCGGTGCATCACCCCTAATCCCCAAAAGGTAACGCAGCTGCTCCTCTTTCTCACACCCAACCCTGTGGYGTGTGAGCTGACCACATGCCAGGGGATAAGAAGCTAATGTCAACTGGGCACCCAGAAGATGTGATGGGTAGTTTGTGCAGTTCTCCAGGCCACTGCCCAATAGGAGGGGCTCCTTTCTAAGCACCCAGCTATCCTTGTCCATTTTAATTGTGCCTTATGTCCACAGCTGTCAGATATCTTTGATATGGAGTATGTTGCTTGTCAGCTGAGACATTCTGGGATACTGGAGGCCGTCCATGTTAGAAAGGAGGGATACCCAGTCCGCTTTCCATTCCAGAACTTCCTAGCCAGGTAGTGGTTTATTGGCTTGCAATTCCACTCAAGGCCTTGGTGGACTTGTCAGCCTATGAAAATTTGTTCCTTGATGATTGTAGGTAGATCCCTGACTTCTCTTATATCAATTTACTGTCTTCCAGATACGGGCTCCTGGTTGCGAGAAGCCATGAGTGCTTGGAGGAGAGGGAAGGCTGTGCAGCAGTGCTGTCCCACGTGATGGGAAACCCCTCTCAGCTCTATCAGATTGGAGTAACAAAGGTGCTACTTACAGGGAATCTCAAGACCACAGTTCCAGCTATCTGTTTGCTGGGTATCAGTGGAGAGTGAGCACCTCGGCCTTTCTGTCCAGAGAGGGATAGCACTGCATGCCCCTGCCTCTGTTTTGCTTGACCTCCTGTCTTTGGCATAAAGGGGAGATTTTTCCTGTTTTGGATGGAAAAGCAGGAAATGTTGCTCCAGGTTGTAGCAGCAGGGCCAGCTTGTTGGTCCAGCTAACATTCCTCGGTGGAGGCCTGGGTTTCCTYCTTCCCTGTCTGCTAACCACCATCACTTTCCAATGGCCTGCTCCTGAACAGTCCTCCACAGACACTTCCATCCCCCTCTCTCCTGTGTCCTGTGCCTAACCCTCCTCCYCTCCCAAAGAGGGCTTCCTTCCCTTAGCAGGGGATCGTGTAGACAGCAAAGCTCCAAGGAGCTAAATCAGCAACTCTTTATTATTGATCACTCCGTGGAGAAGCTGACAACTTCTTTGTGGGTCAGCAGCTGCTCCCTTTGTCCAGGTATTCCTGAAGGAGAAGGCCAGGCAGCTGCTGGAGAGACGACGGAGCCAGAGACAGACCTGGGCCRTCGTAACCCTCCAGAGGAACTTCTGCCGCCTCCTGCACCGCAGGCGCCTCCGCATTCTCCAGGAAAAAGTCACCATCATTCAGGCTTACTTCCGAGGTTACCAGGCAAGGTCAGGAGACAAAGATCGGGCAAAGTCCTGTCCTTGTTCAGGATGACAAGGTGAGGATTTGCCTGGCCAGGCYCCTGGGTGGGGAATCCTGTTAAATRAGCTCTTACTGGGGTGACTGGAGCTCACCGCAGTCCAAGGGGCTGTGGGGGCAGTTCTGATGAGACCAGACTTGACAAGGGTTTAATRCCACATCCAGATTGGCTGGCCACATAACCTTGTGTTAGTCCAAATATCTTGAATTGAGTCCCCGGTTTGCCCAAACTTGTTGATATTTGCTTCTCATTTGCAATTCTTCTTTCCCCAACCCTTCAGGAAGCTATACAGGAGACGGAAGAAAACTYTGATGCAGTTTAAGATGATGGTTTTAACCTCCAGACCCATTGTTCAAAGGAGGAAGTACTGGCAGGTAACAGCCCTGTTCTCAGGACTCGTCCCACAAGAGCTATTACTGCCCTAGGTAGAGAGCTGGTAAGTGGGTGAGGCCGGGGCAGGGCTGGCCTTCAAGATGGTTTATTGGAAATGAGGCAGCGATGTGGTAAAACTGTCTTTCACTCTCTGACTGAGATAAATACAGTCAAAAGAGCAATCACTGAGACTGAAACCTTTCCTCTGTAAACAAGGTGCAGAATTGGTAGAGGTAGTGCTTCTGTGAGGGTGACCTTCTCTAGGTGGCCTCACAGAAGACTTGAGCCTGTGTCAGCTCTGAGCTTGAGAACAGCTCTTCTGCTCAAGCTGTAATGAGACGGTCTTGCAGTTGCTCGGTTTAGTTTCTGATGTTATCACAGATAGTGACTGAAATGCAAGATCTTTTTTGTCCACCTTTCACTGACCTCCCACAGGTGCTTCAGGCTGCTGGCATCCTTGGCCTGCTGGAGATCAGCTGAGTTCSGAGTTGGGGTGACAATAGGGTGGCAGTGGTTTGGGAAGATATAAAACAGTCTGCATGGAAGAGCTGTGATTCTGTCAAYAGTGTTGACAATGTTGTGCACACTGTTAGAAATGAAACTGAAAATAGGAAATCAGAGGGCTTATGGTAGCAGCTAATGTCTGTGTAGCTGGCAGCTTCACAGGTTAGGGAAGGAGGAAAGCAACGTAGCTGCTGGCTTGACTAGCAAAGCATGGGAAAGAAAGTTCCCAGGGCTGGAAGACTCTGTAGAGGTGCCTTCTGCTGTGCCCAGAGCAGCGTGTGCTCTTGTTCCTCCTCCTCCTGCCCCTTCCTACTTGGACAGGATCCAGCTTTTCTCTGTCCCGAGTAACCACAGCAGCACTGCTGTTTGGAACCAGTTTCTATTTCCCCAGTATTTGTTTGCTGAAGCCACAGCACATACAGTAGCAGTAGCAACAATAAAGCTCTCAAAGTTCACCTGCTGCGGAGACACAGCCCTCTTCCTCCTCTGCTCCCTCCCCGCAGCCCTGCCCTTTGGACTTTAGCATGCCTACCATCCTTCTCAGCCCAGCCCTCATAACATCCCATCTAGTTTCACCCTCCTGCAGCACAGATGGGCAGGAAGGAGAGAGGAGCAACTTCCTTTTCTACCTTGGAGCAGGCAGTAGGTGAGTGGAGAGGCTTTGGGACAATAGAGATGGGAAAGGGTAGAGCTGTGAGAGAGACTGTTGCTGTGCACCTCTAAAGTGGTCCCTATTCCCAGAGAGTCACCCAGATCTTGTTCAGGCTGCATTATCTCRTCCTTGGGTGCTGGAGGAGGCAGGTGAATGTTTCTAACAACTCGTGYGTGCTCTTGGTTTGTCCCGAGACCTCTTGAAAGCAGGCAAGGCAAGAAGGGTGTGTTGGGGATGCTGAGCAGGCAGCAAAGGCTGCTGCTGTTCAGCTGTAGGGCRGGAGGCACTTGGTGCTTGAGCAGAGCTAAGGGCTTTGCCTGAGCATCTCCTTCCTGTCTTCTATGTTGAGTCCTCTGAAGGCCCTGCAGCTGTTTCATCACTTTATCTGCTGGAGCAAGGCACTAACTCCTGCYTGTTTGTAGTGTCTGCTCCCAGAAGTAGCTGGACTTGCATCTTTTTTTCTCCCATCTCTTGACAGCAGGAGTTTGAAGAAGGGAAACAAAGAAGGAGGTCCCTGGCCAGTGGTGACACAGAGAACAATCCCAGCCCAGGAATGGTAGGTTCACGAGAGCCCTGTTGAGTCCAAACAGGCTTTTCAGGGTGTTCCTGTGTGCCCCCCAAGCTTCAGGCACTGATGGATGCGGATTCTCTGGGGTTCCTATGAGATGGAAGAACAGGAGTGCTGAACACTGGCAGCATTCGTAGGCATTGTAGCTTCTGGATAAAAAGAATGGGGACATCCAAATGTCTCAGTATCTTCTAGGAACTTTCTTTCTGGCCTTAAAATGAGGCCTTTGCCCTTTCATCCTGTCAGCCCATGTGGGGGGTGTGGATTTGGCTAGTGAATTGCTATTAAATTCTGCTGTGTYTTTGTAGGAAAGCTGGTTCTATTCCAGCTGTGGAAGCTGGGAATGTTCAACACTTTGTAGGAGCATAAGGATTGGGGCGGGGGGATGTAAACTTGATGCTGCTGAACTCTTGCAGAGAGCAAGAAAAGGCCAGTGATCTAGTGCTGAATTTCCCAGGAGGAATTTTAAAACTTTCCCTCAAAACCTGGTTTGAGTTTTTCATTTTGATTTATTAATAATTCCTGGAAACCCTGGAGTTTTGCTACAGGCCACCTCTTTTAATTCCACCCTTCGTGTTACTATGTGGGTGCTGAGTTGAACCAGTACCACCTTATCCTTGGGGCTCCTGTGAAAGTGAAGCGGGCAAAGTTAGGTTGAGAAGTTACACTTCTAATTTGGTGTGGATTTCCCAGTAATGACCTGAGGAGCATCCAGCTCTGGGAGCCCTTAAAATACCTCCTACTTCCTCAGGTTTGGGTCAAGCAGGGTGGAATTTCACAGTAGACTTCCTGAATGCTCCACTGAGGAACTCGTTTTAAAATTGAAAGCTTTGGGGTGAGCAAAGTCAAACTATTTCAAAAATGATGTACCTCTGTTATCAATTGCTGGGATATTACTTAAAGATACCAGAATGTTATGCTGGTGAGAAGTGGCTTAATTATGCACATTTATTATCATTTTTAACAGTTGTTTTGCTTTTCAAGATAATGTCTTCATCTGTGTAGCATTTCAGGAATAAATAAGGCTCCCTGGCCAGCAAGGTACCTACCCTGAGCTGAGACTGATATGAAGCAGCAAAATTACTGCTGCTGTTTAGATGCTCAAGTCCTTGTTAGGACCAACTTTTCAAAGGTGGCTTTACCCGGTCGCAGCAGAACGGAGCCCAGGTTTAGCTGCTGTTTCCCCTGCAGGAAATGCCCATTCCAGGTACSCGAATGATTGACTTGCTCGCTCTGTCCGCAGGATGTGGGACTGCTGGAGATCCCTGCAGAACTTGCTGCCCTGTTGCGCTTAGCTGAAGGTTTGAAGCTCCCTCTCCTTCCCTCTCTCCCCTGCACTGTTGTATGTTTTTTATTGTCATGTTTTCTAGCAGGAGGTTAAGTGTGGGTCTGTTCTGCCTGCTGTCTCTCACGTGGGCTGTATTTGTTTTATTACCATTGCAGTGTCATTATGATAAAGGCAAATGGATGTTGTGTATGGGTGTTTTTGTTTTATTTTTCTGTAAATTTTATGTTCAAATCGCTAGAATACCATTAATCAAAATGATTTGCCTGGTCTTGACTTGATCTTGAGCAAGAAGTTGTTCACAGTTTCGTTTCTTCTGTTAGCTCTTTATACAGTATGTATAAGTAAGCTACAAAAGTGTTGAGGCAGGAATTGCCTCCTTGGCACATTGTCACAGCATCTAATAAAATGACACCTGTATCTTTGACCTTCAGTATGGTGCAATAATTGGAAATAATCAGTCAAGAACCTTGTGAACTGGAGCAGACTGTACTGAATTCCCTCTGTTCTTGTTGAAACACCAATTGAACATCAATTGAAGCACTGGGTGTTGTCTGCCCTTTGGGTGTTATCCAGGCATAAGAGTCTGAAGGATTAGAGCTGTCCAAGCTCCCCGTTGAAGTTAGACCTTGTGGACTCAGGGTTGTGACAATGTGCCTGCTTCATGGGTTGGGGACTGTAGAGGTGGGTTGAGTGTCTCTGAAAGCCAAGGGATCTGGTACAGATGCTCAGAGGGGTAGATACATGGAGTAGCCGTGTAATGCCTTGCACTACAAGTCAGATATACTCTGGTGACATTCCTGACTGCCAGAATATGCAAATTTTTTTCTCTCGCAGGTCAACATCAAGCACAAGCCAACCAGATAACTGAGACGTTGCCTCCAGAGGTCAAAGTCAAAGATGATCTTTCCCTTCCGCCTGCCATCAACAGCTACCCCTTCTCTACCTTCATCAAGTCCCACTTCCAGGTGGGAACCTGATTCATTTCTTCCCATTGCTTCATACAAGGAGAACGTGCTAGGTCTGGTAACATCAAGTACAAATGTTTCTGTTTTTCTCTTTTAGAATACAGATTTCCCTGCTCCTGGTCATCCCCTTCATCAGCCCTTAACCCGTCTGGAAGCTGAACACCGGGAGAGTGCACTTGAGATCAACAAACTGGTGAGAGATTTCTTTCYCTGCTAGGGCCTTGTTGAAGAACAGCTGAATGGAAGAGAATGTTTTGATGCCTCCATACTAGATGCTGAAGTGCATGGTGGTTACTACTGTTCTTAAAATATGTGATTGTATGGTGTGCTAGGAGAGAAGAGCTCCTACTAGGTGTTGGAACTGTCTGACATAAATCACATGTGGCCCTGCAGGTTGCTGGGGTTATTGGTGAGGCACAGACCAGCCCCAGAGGGTAAATGTTATCCTTAGTGAGCACCTATAGGAGACCTAGAAGGTGAAGGAAGTCTCAGTAGGAGTTTTGCTACTGATTCAAGTGAATTGCCTAGTGGCAGAGTCTTGGCACTTGGTAGGACGTATAGGAATTAGATTGCTAAACTYTTGTTTCTCATTGTTGCAGTAGCAGTATGGGAAATAACAGAAAGGAGATCTGTCTCCTGCTGCCCTCAAGCACTTAACTCCTCTACCTTCATCAGAAAAACAGGTTTATKTAACCCAGGTCTCTTCTGTGATCTGGTTTATAGATAAAACACCCTTGTACCATACAGTACACAGTAGGGGACAGTGAACTGTGGTATGGAGGCTGGGACAAGTGGCCACAGGGACTTTGTCATCAAGAAAATGATCCCTGCAACCACACCTAGTTCTGTAGYGTTGGCCTGGTGAGAGACACCGTAATACCCTGGGTCAGCACGGTCCTGTGCTGCTGCATCGTGAGGGTAGCAGTGGCAATTGTCCTGTGAAAACACAAACTTAATTTCCAATGTAAGGAACTTGTTCCCTGTATTAGGTCCAGCCCTCTCTGGATGTGGAAAGTACATCTCAAAATGATGATTTTTTTTTTTTCCTGCAAATAGAATGAGTCTTCCGAGAATTTGTGGGTAAATCTGTTAAATCTGTTTGGGGAGTTATGTGTGATTAAAATAAGTCCTTTAGGAAATGTAATACCTAAAACCAGTCTTTTGTTTTCTCTCAGTGATCTCGATTATAGGAGAACASAAGCTCTCTGAAGCCTTGTGAATAGGATTAATGTGTTTAAGCGGATTACTGTTATTTTTTGTAGAGAATAAATACTATTTTCTCTACTGCTAATCAAAATATACAACTGTTTCTTCAGCAAGGCTCTAGTGCACGGGGACTTAAGACAAAATAATTCCATAGAAAACTGAAGAACTTCCACCTCTGATTTTTTTCTCAGTAGTCTCTGGCACATTTTAAGAAGTATTGTTCTCCTAGATAAAATAGACTGCCATTCATAAATGTCCTTTCCAAAGCTGTCCATGGCACATTTCAGAAAATTTTTTAAATCTAATGACTTATTGAATTGTAGAGGCTGGAATTATTCCGTACCTAAGGGTGAGAAATAGARATTACAGTAAACCTCTGATGCTGATGTGCATAGGAAGGAGCCGAATCATTGCTGTTATCGCTCAAGTGAGTTGTTTGAGTGTAACGTGTCATGCTACTTGCTATAACATTAAATACACCAAAGCGTAAACATTCAGCTGTTAGACAGCAATTCYTTGTGTTGGGCTCAGTCTCTGGAAGAAATAGCCCCCGGTGAATTGTCATCTGTCTGAGCTCTGATCCCCGAAGAAGGGGAATTGCTTTGCCCGTGAGCAAATTATGAGTCAGAGGCAGAAAAAGGAATAGTCTGGAGAAGTCCTGACCCTTAGTCAGAGTCCTGTCCCTGTGAACACAGTCTCCTGAATTCCCCAGAAATTGAATGGTACGTGAGACCTGAGCACAGACTCGCATTTGAGTGTTCCTAAGGTCACAGACACCCCAATGTCTACAACTGGGATTTTTGAGGTTACTTTGCAGCTAAAGCTCTCCCTTTTTCCCTGAATGCTCTAGATTTTGCGGTTCGTTGGTGACAAGAACCTCCGTGGCTGGCAGGAACTGCTTCTGGGCAACTATATTGCTGGCAGAGGTTTGAATAACCTGTCCCTGCGTGACGAAATCTTCAGTCAGGTGGTCAGCCAGGCATGGAAGAACCGAGACATGGAGCAGGGCCAGCGAGCCTGGGTCCTAATGACAACCTTGCTGAGCTCCTTTACTCCCTCACCAGCCCTGGAGAAGCCATTACTGAAGTAAGGAGGAGGGAAGAGCTGGTTGTGCTTTGATTAGGGTTGAGAGAGATGAGCCATGTGCTAAAGGTGGCTGCCTGCTGCAGATTTGTCTCGGACCATGGCATGGAAGGTTACAACGCCGTTTGCCAACGCAAGATCTTGACAGCCAAGCCGCACACAGAGATTGACCCAGCAGCTGCCCGAGCCTACCCTCCCACTCAGCTGGAGTGGACTGCAAACCAGAGAAGAGGGAAGATGGTGCTAGACATTCATACCTTTGCTGGTAGCTCATGTTTCTGTCCTTTCACCATCCCCTAGTCCCTAATGACTCCTGCAGTGTCAGGATTCATTAAATCAGCATTTAGAAAATATTCTGTAAGCTTGGTGAAGAGTGATGGGAATCTGAAGAATGTCTGAATCCAGACCCCAGCTCTCTGAAACCCAAAGCTGCTCAGCTCAGACCTGCTGCTCAGGCAGCCTGAGTGATAGGATTCTTCTGGATTGAGGCCCGTCTCAGCAGAGGTTGCTGTCTGGTGGTGCATCTCTCTGGACCTTATTTTTCTGTTAGTCATTACTGCATAGGCCCTATCACAGCATCCCCTGGCTTTGTTACTGACTGAGCCTTTCCCTCCACCCAGATCCTGGGTCATGGTGTTCAAGCTCTGAGCAGGGCATCTATCCTCTGACTTGTTAGGGAGGGGAGTGATGATCCAGACAGGCCACAATATTGTGAGCCCTTCCAGGTGTTTGATTGGATGTGCTTGGAGCTGGGATCTGCCAGGACATGCTTAGAGCTGGGCTCTGTCTCAGCTCTCCAGAGTCYGGGTGTTGCTTAGGGCCTTGTCAGGGACTATGTGTACTGACTCTCTTTTCTGGTCTAGAGGAGAAGTTCTCAGCTGAGGTGGAGTCCTGGATGACCGGGGAGCAGTATGCAGCCTGGCTCCTGAGTTCAAGGTACTGCCAAATGATGGGAGAAGACCTAGGGCTGTGAAAGAGGCTGTCTTAATGATCAGATTGGTCAGGGCTGCAGGTCTGCAGAGAGTACACAGTACTCTCCTTTCACCCTCCCAGCATGTGCTCGTTCCCTTTCCCTTCCATACGTGTGCAGCTTTTCCTAGGAGTAGTGAGCTCACAAATATGACCTATCAGAGCTGTTGCAGAAAAAGAAGGAAARAAAAAATGAACAAGTCCTARGTGAATCTTGTTTCTTCCTGACCTTGTACATGTATTCATAGGTTCAGACCCAAAAGCTTAAGGACTTTAGCCAAGGATATACAAAGCAAGAGGAAACAGAATGCAGTGTTTCCCTTTTTCCCCAACCTGCCATGTCATCTTTTCTCTCCTTCTGTTCCTGGTTACCAGGGGCTGTGACAAGAGCACTCGAGGATGGTCTGTCTCCATGTTCAATGGTAATACATGGCAGAATCTGCTGGGATGTGACTTTGTGCTGGACCTCATTGGGGAGATGGAGGAGGCCAGGAGCCCCAGCAACCCCTCTCATTCCTCAGTCACGTACCCCATYGCCCCTGAACAGGACCTGCAGAACTCTGCCCTGGATCAGTGAGTCACCTTATCTCCAGCTCCACCACTGGCCCTTTACCCAGTGCTCCATGTCTTCTTACAWAGCTCTGTGCTGTCCTCATCTCATTTGCCCTTCAACAGGATCCCCCCTGCTCCAGGCATCCRGGCCCCTGTTTTCCCACCACCGAGTCTCCCTCCAGACTTCAGCCACCTCTACTCAGGTGAGCTCCTGCCCAGGACTGTGGGTACCATTGGGAAGGGTCAGGTGAGCTCAAGACAGAGAGGGGAAAATGACTTTTCTCCTGAGAAGTAAAGGTAAGGTGGGGGTTCTGCTTTAAAACATGGCTGCTTAAGAAGGACTGAGAGAAGGGGTATGTTTCTTATCCGTCTTCTCACCAGACTTCCCTGTGCTCCTAGGTGAAAAATTTGGAGAGGACCTGAGGACTCCTGTGGGCTTGGAKCACTATGTGGATGATCTGTTCAGCCCTGTGCTGCATCAAGGCTCCAGGGTACCAGTAGGTCCCTTCCTGTTCCTTCTCGCTGCAGCTCTTCTTTTAGGATGACTCCTTCCTCAAGCATCCTCTGCCTTTCCTCAGCTCAGACAACCGTTTGGATAGTTCCTCCACTGGGAAATGTGTTTTTCTGAGCACAGACAAGTCTATTTCTCTGTTAATGCAGGATATGGAGAACGGGGAGAGTCTGACTGGGCGCATGAAAGGAGGTGGGAAGATTGGACCCACACAGAGAGGAATCTTTCCTCCTACAGGTCTGTGAGGGGATGGGGACGGCTGGAAACCTGTGGGGATACGTGTGCTTAAATGCCCCAAATGTTAATTATTGCATGGGCTCAGCTAATTCATGAAGAGCACTCGGCTTCTAGCTTAGCTAACTAGAATTTGTACTACTCCCTCCCAGGTGCTGGGAGACACAGATGCTTTGGAGAGGGTACCACCTTTGTCTTGCCTTTAATTTCTATCCTGAGATGGTCTAGGGTCTAAGGCAGCAGGTAGTTTGCTCCTGACTCAGGCCACCTCTTCCTTACGCCAAGGTTTTAAGTCCTTCATTGATGTCAATGCACCTTGTACTTTTCCCAAACAGTTGCTGCCTTTCTCGGGTGAAGGTTTTAATCTTTCTTATTGCTTCTTTACAGACTTCCCTGTTATCTCTAGCTATACCATGGGTTAGTAAGTCTCGACCGTGTAGAGGTTCTGGTTTGTGTGTTTGACTTCTTTATTTTGTAGTTTGTGTGGAGCGCAAGACTTACTATTGTCAAGTTATTTTCAGCAGAGTGGAGTCACACACCACTATATTAATGACACTAAGAAATCTGCATGTGTAGGAAAAACTGTCAGCTGTTTCAGAAAGGTGGGGATTGTCCACATGTGTGGTGAGACTGGAGCTGTTTATGGCTATTGGAAGGGCTCGGGGATCATAGGCCCTATTTCAGRTCATTGACATGAGACCAGTTTGCCACACATATGGCTATTTATGTCRTTCTTGCTGTGTCATTGAAGAAATYTGGGCCCCTTGGCCAAATGTGAAGTCTTGCCCTTCTTGTTGGGTAGACTATCACAGCTCAGAAGACCTAGGCTGCATGCTGCTCACTCTGAGCTGACACTGCTCTTTGTGTGTCTTGCTCTGCTGGCCTTGACAGGGGGATTTCTGTTACACCATTTCTGAAGGATATGGTCCTGAGGTGGCCAATACAGGCTCTGATTCATGCTGTTGAAAAGCTTGTCAGGCCATGCATTTCTCTTTTGACTTCCTTTTTCACCTGAGTTTTGCTGTGTACAAAGAGATGAGCCCTTCATGTGTCTCTGATGTGTGTAGGGAGAGAGTACCTGAGGTGCTGAGCCTGTGTGTCGTGTTCTGCAGGACTGATAGGACTTTCTGATCGGTGATTCCCAAAACACTGTGTGTGTCTCCTTACCTCCAGGCCTCCCTGCAATGATGCAAGTACCAACTTACCAGCCTATGCCTGCAATGGCAGGAATGATGCCAGCATCTGTGCCCATGATGCCAGGGCTTGGTGGCATGGCACCAATGCCAGGTAATTACACATTATTTCAGTAACCATATAGGGAAAGAGAATCTAGCATCCTAATGAGGCCATATGTTGGAATATTAGTAGTATCCTGTCACTGCAACACTTAGACCTTTCATTGGAAGTCGCAGACTCTGTAGTCAGGAGGTTCGGCAGCCACCTCTGCAGTGTAGTCCCACAGCTGTTTGGCAGCTGTGCAGCCAGATGTTGGCGCAGCGTGGTCTGCGTTGGGGCTGAAAGCGGCMGCAAGTGTTTCAGAAGCAGGTGAGCTGAGTGCCCAGGGCTGCACAGCTCAGCTCTGCGAGACAGGGGTGGGCCAGGCAGGCTGCTCTGGGCTCGTGCTCAGGCACCCAGTGTCTCTGGGTGTTTGCAGATGTGTCTRTCTCTTGCAGCCATGGTTATGCCCCAGGCGCAGCCTATGGTTCCAGCAGTGGATCCCAACCAGTTAGCAGCACAGCAGCAAGCCTTTATCAACCAGCAAGCCATGCTCATGGTGAGTGAAAGGGAGCGGGTGAGAACAGTCCAGGAMCTGGGGAAGAAAATCACATTGATGGGTGTGAGTTAGGAAAGATGGGCTCTGTTTACTGCCTACCTTGGACCTGCTTTGTGGCACTAAGGGCTTATGTGCTGCTCGGTAGGTGTGAGTTGGGTTTTTCAAGACTGCAGAGCATGGAATCCCCTCTTTGCCCCTTTGAGCAGATAGGGGCATTGAAGTACCGCAGAGTGAGTGAGAAGCACGACAAGAGCAGGTCCCGAGAGGCCTTAGCTGTACTTCCCAAATGTATTTAGGTGGATTTGCTAGGGGTGCAAATCTCCAGTGTTCTGCTTTCTGCACAAAACCCTGTGAAGGCAGGAGGGCCCCAG